TCTCACAACTGGTAGTTTGGAATAGAGTCTGCCAAATTCTCTGGGCCTTCTCTGCTCTGCTGCTATTGCCTGGGACCTCCAGATAACAGCATGTAGATCCATCCCCAGCCCCATCTGCTCTGCAGCAGATAAGGCCTGGTTCCCTAGTGGTGTTGGAGCAATGTTGAGAAACAGCAGTTCTGACCCCCTCCCCATCTTTAGTTCTTGAGAAAGGTGCTGAGGGTGTGACCTCTGCTGCCATCCTGCTGCCTAGGGCAGTTTTAACTCAAGACTGAGTAGACCTGCATTGTTTTCTTCTTTGAAATTCTTCAAATCCATAAATACATGCCTAACGCATTAGTCTCACTGCATTTTATTTTTTCGTGAATGTTGTTGGCTAAGAATTCCCGTTGCTTCTCCCATTGGATAGAATGTCATATCATCATTCTTTAGTAACACTATGACCTATTTTCTCTGAATCTGGGACTTTGGATGTGTGTTCTGATCTCTGAAATGTCCTTCACACATCTCCTGGCCAACATGAGGATTCCCTCAAGAAGGAGCTCAAGCCTTGTTCATCTGAGGAATTTGTCCTCCCTGGGTCTGCGACGGGCATCTCTCCTCTGAGCTCCCAAGCTACACACCTTAGTGCAGCCCACGGTTCTCTGAGAAGCAGCTGAAGCATCTGTGGCTACACCCAACTCTCCATCATGAGAACTTTCTCCCTGAGCTCCCAGAATCCACTTGGTGTTTGAGGACAGAAACAATCCAGTTGGAGGAGTGGCCCTGGAGTCACACTGGGTCAGACCTTTGAAACCCCACCTGCTATAGGGAAAAAAAAAATTGGTCATATAGCATGAAACTTTAAAAGGCCCACTCTTTTTCAGGGATTTCCCTGCTCCACTCAAGAAATCTCCCAAAGTTCTCGGGACATTGCAGGTTTTGAGGAAGTGAAACATCGTGGAATAGCTTCTCCACGCCATTTTTGTCCTCGGTGACATTTACAGCCTGTGTGTGATCAGAAATTTGTAACTCAAATGAACTGTTGGTGATAATGAGCCATTAATACAGTCCTGATTGAACACCTTTCTCGAAGGTCACCACGCTTTACATACATTATCTAATTTGTCTCCAGAACATACCTGCAGGAGGGTAGCCAGCCGCTCAGAATTCACCATGTTCCGACAACCCAGACTTCAGTGGAGCAGATTTCCCTGCTCTGGGCCCAGTGAAGACCAAAACTATGTTCAAGTTTGTAGGGCAGCAAGTGCTTTGTTAGAACCACTGTTGATTCCCTGTGCCTGCTAGATAGGTCAGAAACAGCAGCTGCAAAAACAGAGGGAAGTCTTTCCATAAATACTAGCCACAGGGCTACAGACACCAAGTGTTAAGGGAGCTTAGAGGAAAGGAAGGGGACTGTCCCCCATGGAATGCCACAGCCACCTTCCAGGTTTCCATCTACCCCTTCAGTGAGTGAAGGCCCATATGCCCAAGGCCCATGTTGGATATTTCATAGAGGAGCAGCGGGGTCTAGAGGCATCACCACTGCATTAAGACAGGGAGATAAATCTTCTGATCCCAACTCTGTCGCTAACCATCTGTGTGTCCTGAGCAAAGTCACAAATTCCCTTCAGACTTAATGAATGGAGAGCACCAGGCCATAGGATTTCCAGGGCCCTCCTTCAGCTCTAGCATAGAATGATGCTGCCCTCCTGGCTCCAGGCCCCTGCTGGTCCTCCACGCACTTCACAGGCAAAGCTGTAGGCTCGGAACACCTGTCTGTGCTCCTGATCTTGCCACCAGTTTTCTTGGTGTGTATATATTAAGTGCCATGATGGACTGAAAGCTCCCTGAGGGCAAGAGCCATGTCTATTTTATGTTTGTGTCCCACAGGTAACACAGTATACTTGTCCTCTCTGCTCTAGCTGGTGAGTCTCATCCGACTCTCTTCAGTATAATAACCCATGTCAGTCTTTCCCATCTTAAAAGGGAACTAATCTTCTCAAACTAGTAATCTTTACTTACCATATTGTAGGTCCCCATCACTGTTGTTCTCCCAGTTCTCCTCCACCCCTACAACCTGTAGTTCTAGTCCCACCGCTTCACAGACATTGCTTTGATAAACTCCCTAAAGGACTTTTTAGGGCCAATGACACTTCAGTGTTTGCCTCATAGCCTCTTGCAGCACCTGCTTGGTGGCCTCACCCTTGTTCCAGAAACTCCCCTGTCCGGCTCCCATGAGGCCAGTTGCTCCTGCTTCTCCTGCCCCTCGTACTGCCCTTTGCTCTATTGTCCTGAGACACCTATTTCCTCATGTTCTTTGCAGTTCTGTCCCTGGCTCTTTTTTCACTCTAAGGTCCCTCCCTGATAGATCTGCTAATGTCTGTGGCTTCCACGGCTGCCTCCCACAGGGAGCCCTTGAGCCCCACATGGCCAGTTTCTCTCTGCATCACCTCCCATGATATTTAGCACATCCAGACCTGAGCTCACCAGCCTCCTCCAAAACCGGTCTCTCTCGTTTTCCCTGCTTGGCAGTGATCCCCTAATCCATTTGGTGGCCCAGGTCCATAGTTCTCCTTCTCCCTCATCCCCATGACCAGCCAGCTACCACTGAAGTTTCACTCTTCATCAGTGTCACCTGAACTGTTTGCAGTGCCTCTGAACTCTCCTCCCTGCATCCTTTCTGGGCTCGAATCCACCCTCCATACTGGAGCCGAAAATGACTTTTCTACACTACAAATTTTGATCCTTTGGCTTTGCTTCTTCAGTTGACGGAAATGTCAACTCCTGAGTCACAAGGCTAAGACCCAGATGCTGACCGCCTTCTCAGCCCTTTCTCGTCGCCTTCCTCACTCACGTGATAAGCTCCTGACGAGATGGAACTGAGCTCTTTTTTAACCTGTGAATCTTTGAATGGGGTATCCCATCCTGTCAAGGAGATAACAGGTATTACCTGTCTCTGATGCAAGTCCAAGGACAGGAAATGGATTCCACTCTTGCTGGAAATCTTTGCCTTTTTTGCCAGGCAGAAGTAAGTGCCTGAACCCCTCTGTGGACTCCCTGAAATTTTGTCTTGCTTCTCCACCAGCATTGCCACAGTGCTCAGCTGGCTGCATGTAGCCACGTCACCCCCACCACACAGTGAACACCCCAAGGGGAGGAACGTCCTCCCTTGGCCTTGTCCCCAGGCCTTCACCTAGAGCCTGATTATTTCTCCCGAGTTTGCTGAATGGGTGGACGCGTGCATACTGGCAGAAGAGCTTACTCAAAGACTGTCGTCTTTCCTGAACATTTCATTTTGTCATTTTCTCCATTACTATAGGATAGATTGGGGTCATTTTACTCAGCCAAAATCAGGGGTTTCCACAGTTTACTTCTGTCTGCTTTGTAAGGTATGTATCCCGTGTTTTTTCTGAAAAGACTGGCCTACTCAGGACCCCTAAACATTCTATTCTCATTGTTGTCTCTGCTCCATAAATTGAGTCTATGAATGGATGAAATGGGGATAGTAGTGGACCCTGCATCTCAAGGCCTGTGTTCTGTGCATAAGGCCATTCTGTCTGTTACAGGAAGTGAGGCAGCTTGGAATTATTTAGCTTCTTACCCCTGCACAGCCCTCCCTCTTCCTTCTTGTATTCTGAAGACCCTGGCAGACGTCAGATGCGCACAGACCACCTGATAATAATTTCCCATCATATAAGTGCCAGAGCCGAGTACCATTCCCCCTTTCATTTAAATTAGATAAAACCCTGAGCTGTGGCTTGCGAGTGATGGAAGTCCACTGGGGAAATTAAAGGTTCAGAGAGAACGGGCCCCATTATAATAAAAAGCATTTGCACTGCCAGTGATTCCATCTACCCTGTGGCTTCTGTGTTCCTTGGGGTGGGATGAAATATGAAGCAAAAGGACCTCTGAAAGTAGTTTGAGGAATTTATTTTAATTGGAAATGGTGGTAGCATTCTGCACTTGGCGTGAACTATGGATCATGCACAGTGGTGGGATCAGTTTTGTATAAAGAGCCATGGAGCATCCAGGCCACGATGCAGGAGCTCAGCCCTGTCCTGGCAAGTTCTTTCTACCCCTGCGTGTGTACTGATTGTGATCAGAGGCCAGTGGTCCCTCTCACCCACCTGTGTTACTTCCTTCCCTCTTCCCTCCCTCACTCCCTCCCTCCCTCGCTCCCTCCCTCCCTCCAGTCTCTCCATGACTCTGCACGGCTAGTCTATGCTAGCATTTAATCAGCATATAATGGCATCTAAATCAATCAACTGCTCAACCTATAAATTACTCAGAACTATGAGACCTGGGAAGAATTCATGAAGCAGATGTACAGAATGGCCAGGGTAGGAGCAAAGATAAATCTGCACTTAAACTCCTAATAGTACAATCACAGTAGCCGATTTCTGTTGGCATATCCTATGTACATATTCTCATTCGATCTCAGCCTTTTTATACAAGTGTTCTCTCCATCTCACAGATGAGGAGACTGAAGCTCAGAGTAGTTAAGACGTTGGCCCAAGGTCATGTAGCTGTTAACAAGTGGCAGAACCAGAAGTTTCTACCACATAGAGGCAGAAGCTGTATTGAGTGGTTTTGAACTCAAGTTCTGACTCAAAAGCCTAAGCTTTTAAGTGTGGTGTTACAGTGCCCCCTGACTGAAAATGGTTACATTCTTGAACTGAAAACTCGGATTTGTTTTTTAACATAGGTAATTCTGTCTGGGAGAAGTCCTATCATTAATTCCGAACCCTGGTAATGATAGCAGGATATCAATAATGAAGTTGAGGGCTGGGATTGTGGCTCAGCAGTAGAGTGCTCACCTAGCATGGGCGGGACCCGGGTTCGATCCTCAGCACCACATTTAAAAAAAATAAATAAATAAAGACATTGTGTTGTGTCCATCTACACCTAAAAAATGAATATTTTAAAAAAAGAATAATAACATTGAATCGTATCAGATGTTGTAGACTGCTTTTACAGTTGTTCAATCTGTCTTTACTTTCTCACTTTTGTATTTTTAGATGCATCATCCCATTCAGATGAAACCTGCAGATAGTGAAAAGTCAAACGGTAGGTGGTAACCAACTGTCTCCTTTAATAATATCTGCTTCTTTAAGTTAAAAAGTCAGATGGGGAAGGGAGGAGCCAATCCCAGCAGCTTTATTCCTCAGGAAGGTGGAGCTCATTGCTCCAGGAGACTTCCACGGTGGTCAGCACATCTGGAGGAATGCACACTCCAGTTCCTAATCTTATTTATCTCTGTTGTAAAGACTTCTGCAAGATTGCTATAAGGGGTCCCTCTGCTTGGGGGCATGCCCTTTGTGATGGTTTTTGTGGCATTTGGCACTTACTCAGTATCTTTCCCGATGCAACATAGGGAGCCCAATGGGTGGCAGATGGCATGAGTGGGGAAGGAATTGCCCATTAAAAATTAAGCAACTTTTTAATTTTTTTGTCTTTTCTGTTTGTTCCTCTTTAACTATCTTATTGCAGTCTTCTCTAAATTATACCAATACATTTGCAGCAGAATTCTGTCTGCTGATTAAATAAAGGTACACTTGCTGTAAAAAAAAAAAAAAAATATATATATATATATATATGCGCATTTGATGAGAGATCCATGAATAATTGGGATTTGCCTCTCCAAGACCCTAGAGGGTTGATAGCCCACATTTCTGTCTTAAGTTTTTGCTTGCATTTCTACAAACCTTCTGTCCCTGTTTTGTTCTTTTAATTTACTGAAATGTATGTTAAAAGAATCATCTACCTTCTTAGACCACAGAGCTCCTGTGTTCCACAAGACTGACATAATCAGCACCGTTTCCTTCCACCAGCCAGTTTTGTACCTCATTAATTAGTAATCAGGGCAGAAGCCACGCACTTAGAGATCTACATATCTGCAAATGTAAATTATGATTGGGCTCTAAATCTCTCCACAAGGTATTTCTTTGCTAATTGTAGCACATCCATTTTCTGGCTTCTTCACAGAATAGAATGTTTTGAAGGAGCTTCCAGCCCTTGGTTTGTTGCATCTTCCCCCTCTTGGGGAGTGGACTCAAGTGCCTCCACCCACTGTCTTCTGAGCCCTGTGCTTTGAGTAGTGTGCATTCCCTTTTTTTCCCTGCACTGCTTTGGCCATGGCCATGGCCCTTAGTGCCAGAGGTCTGAGCCCTGATGTTGCTTTGCTTGGAGATCATGATCAAGTCGCTCCATTTCCGCATTCAGCAGTCATCCCTTGACCACTTCCTGTGTGCTGGGCGTGTTGCTAGGGGCTGGGGGTGCAGCAGTGAATTTGAAGAAGGGACGACTTCAAGAGACTATGTCCCTGACCTTATGGAACATGCATTTGGCTTACTGGTTCACGTACATGAAACTTTGAATCTTCTCATTCATACATTGAGAATGGTGGTAACGAGCTCACGTAGGTTGGATTCCACCCCCTCCTTCCAGAGACTTAGGTGAAATATTTGTAATATTCCTGGTGATAGATCCCTTCCATAAAATGCTGTTTATTGTTATCACCTGGAGATATCCCCTGGCTTTATATGGCTCTTGGCTGAACATGGTACCTACATAGAAGGCCGTTTCCTGTGTGGATTCCTGGGAGCTCCTTTGCCCCAAGGGACCTGCCTGCAGCTTGCTGTCTTTACTGGTAAATGGGAGAGATGAATCTTGAGTTTGTGGGATGAATCCCATCAGAGCTGGTCTTCTCAGAACTTCTGGCCCCCAAGAGATGGTCCCTGTCCTTTGGCCCCATAATTTTCTAAACTATGTCAGGACAAGGGCCATGGAATGAAAGTCTCTGAGAAAGGGTCTGCCTTACTTCTGAGCCTGGGGTTGTATTCATGACAACATGAAGCAACTTCTTCTGTACTTTCTGCTGTGCCTGTGCGTAGCCTGGCTGAGGACTCCCGTCCACTCCAAGCTGCCTGGAGTTCTGAGTGTTTTGTTGCTCTAGCTGTGAAGGGGATACTCTGGACACAGGGAATAACATTTGCTTTGGGTCTAGAACCACAGCAACAGAATAAATCCAGCATGTTATAAGTGCCTCCAGTCTTTTGTGATCTCAAAAGCCAAGGAGCACTAGGCACCATTACTGCTAGGTTAGGAAAGTACCTGAAAGTGTCCCTTGATGGAAAGCAGCATTAGGGTAGCAGGCAAGAACTGTTTCCAGAAGTCTGAGTTCGACTCCTGGCTCTGTGATTGTTAGCCATGTCCTTGGGCAAGTCACTTGACCTCACTTGGCCTCAACGACTTCACCAGAGTGAAGTATGAACTCTTGGGTCATGCCTGCCTTACAAGGTTGTTTGAGAGTTCCCCAAGTTGACATCTACAAAAATCTTAGCATAATACCTGGCACATGGTGAATATCCAGGGTGCTGCATTACACTAAATTAACAGCATAATTCCACTAGCCAAGGGAGATGTTTTGGTGTGTTCTAAGTGATAGGTGCTGACATGTCTGGACTTAGGCCATTCATCCCACATGATGACCTATATATAACAAGAACCCCCCAAACCTTGCAGTGGGACCAGTTCTCCCTTTGCTTTGTAGGATGATCTCCATTTTCTGAATTTTTAGTTAGAAAAGCCAAAAGGTATAAATGAACTGAAAGCTACATTTCAAGGGTTCCGCCTTACAGAGGCTCAAATGGAACCACACCTTGAACACACATGAACAGGTTTCATGATTCTCTTTGGCTCTGATTTAGGAATCAGAAGAAATGTATAATTTTCTAAAGCAAGTGATAAAAGCTGCAGCCCTTTCTGATTCCACAAGGCATTTTTGACAGGTAAGCATAGTTTGAAAAGCTCAAAGAGCACAAAGATTTCTTTGGCTCGGATGCTCTAAATAGCTCCTGTAGCTGTGAAAGAAGTATAACGAGCTCTAATTGCACTTTTATTGAGTTTGCTGACATTTATGCACAGCACAAAGGACTCATCACAGTTAGACAGTTACTGTCTTCATTATCTGTGTTCAGATTTCTGAAACTTTGTTATTTGCTGAGCAAGAAAGGGCTGCTAATCACAGATCAATTAGTGATGGACAAATGAATTCCAGAAAGCAATCACCCTTTGAAGCCCATATCCATCTAGAGAGTCTGATAAAGGGAACCTCTGTGGTGTGAGCCCAGAAATGTTAGGTTGATCTTGGATCAGCCCTATACTGCCAGATTGTACTGAATGGACTTCCTAAGTCTCCAGGGCTTCTCATAGCCTGCTCTCTCAGTTGGCTCTGATTTAAGCTGCAGCCTCTAGCACATTCTTACAAACTCACCACATTTTGCTTTCCACCCTTATGCTTCTACTGTGCCAGGTGTCCAAAAGAAAAGCAAAAATCCAATTCTAAATAAGGTGTTGGGACCGTTAAGAAGAGCACATTGAAATATCCAATTATCAGTAGACTCCGCCTTTTTTGCTGTTTCTTCATTTTTGTTTTATTTTAATTGAAGAAAACTGAGTGATGGGTGTGGATTTGAGGAGGGCGTGGATTTAGCACAAATATAATTAGTGTTTCTGTGAGTCCCTATACAGCTATATATATATCATCCAGCTTTGCTGTACAGTAGATTGTACCAGCTGTGCAAGACTTTAATGCAGTTGCTAAAGCCAATCTCAACAGTGAGGGATGAAGGAGCATGGAGGTTGCCTCAGGTCCCATGCCTGGGTCTCTGACTGGAGCCAGTGTTGACTTGGGCCGTGCTTCTTTGAGAACAGGATTGTTACCACTCAGCAGACAGAGCATCTAAATCCACCCTGCTTTAACCTTCCAACCTCACGACTTGTCAAGAGTCCTTGAGGCCTAGGATCGAGAAATACTATTTAAGACCACTGTCTCTTTTTCTCAAGGCCTCCCAAACCTCCAGTATCCGTGCATCCAGTTCAATGCCAGCCTGAGTCCAGATAACTAAATATTGCAGGGGAAGGGTAAAGACCCGAAAGCCTCCATTAAAAACAGGATCACAGGGGGCTTCCGTCCAGTCACTTTCTGATTTTACTGGAAGATGAAGAAATAATTTTGAAATTCAAAGTGGAGAGACTCACAGATTTGGAGGCAGTAATTAAATGCCATATGTTAGCACTAACACATTGAAAAGTTGTTAATTAATTCAGGCAGCCCCGAATCCAGGTGTGACTTTGACAGATTGTGCACCAGGGTGTTAGCACAGACTTACAATTAGTGATTTTTTTTAAAAAATGAAGTTTCTATTCCCCTAACTTTAAAAAGTCACCCTTATACTTAAAATGTTAACCCTTTCTCACTGTGCCATGGGGAAGGACTTCCAGGTGACCACTGGTGTGGAACCCTTCCTGTTCTGCCATTGTTAGGGGTGATGGAGCCCCCAATACCTAGAGATATGTCCCTGTGCTCCTTCAGTGGCTGTCCTAGAGGAAGTAACTGTTCCCCTAGGGGCAGGGAATTTACCTTTTCATTGTTTGGGTTTTTTTTTTTTCCCTTTTAATTCCCCTAAAATACCTGGCAGAGTATTACAAATACAGTAGGTTTGGTTAAGTAATCCATATCCTAATAGATTAAAAGAAATAATTGAGACACTTATTGCCCATGAATATTTAGGAAAAACTCACCAGCAAAATCATCAAAAAAACGATGAAAAATTTAAGTGAATTCAAGATATTTATGCTTATTTAAAATGTTTAAATGTTTACAAAGCTGTTAGGGATCTTTAGAATGGGAATCCTGGGAATAAATTTTATGAATACATTTTTCCTGGAAAACTGGAAAAATTCTGTGGAGAGAAAAGCAGAATATAATTGGTCATAGCCATTTTTCTATTAAAGCAAACGTGGCCCAACTGTGAAAAGCCCAGAGCAACTTGGGCAACTAGAAGATTGTGAATGTCCAGCTTCTTTTATGTACGCTCATGAGCCCACCTGTGCAGAGAAGGAATTTAGCCTTTAGATTAGCATATACATGGGATGACATGGGTTTCCTTTTTTTCTCCCTAATCCGAGGCCTCACACATGCTAGGCAAGTGTTCTATCACTGAGCCACAAATTCGCCCAGTACTTGTTTTTTAAAATGAGACTTGTCTTCCTCCTCACTGCCTGGCTGAGGTTATCCTTAGTGATGGCTGGGAAGTTAGGAATCCCTCATAAGTGCTTTCCATATTCTTAATATTCATCTTAGGAAAAAATCATTTTTAGCTTAGGAGCCGCATGTTTAATTTACTATAACATCACCCTGGAGCTCAAACCTGTGAATTGTTTTAGTTAAACACCGCAATTATAAGTTTACCAGTCAAACCAGGGACCAAATGAGAATTTTTCATTTGCTTTTATTTAAAAGAACTAAAATCAGATTCTTCAAGGTAAGAAGAAATACATCAGGACTTTTTTTTGTTTCTTTGTCTGTTTTAATTCTCATGAAGACACAGGGCATAGTTTCATGGGGATGAGAGTCCAGAGGTGAGAGGGAAGAAGTAGTAAGAACTGCAAACTAGAAGTCTTTCCCTCCCTCCTCTGCCCCAATTCGGCCAGTTCTACCCATCTCCTCAAGCACGTCCTACATGGCACAGTCCTCATGTGTGGAGTCCAGGCATCATAGCATGCTGACCTTGGATCCTACAAAGTCTCCTTCATAAAGAAAGCTCCTGTGGGGCATATGGTGTTTCTAAAGCTTAGCTTGCCCTCGACTACTTGGCTTTTGCCAGTTCACAGTAGACCATTGGTACTTCACTTACTCTAAAGGTAGAAAAAAGTATTTCACTGGAAAAAAAAATTTATCTAAATAAGGGGAGTCAGGTTCTAAACAGCCTCTCTCCCAAGAATCAGAACCCATCACCTCCTTAGCTCATGTCTCCTCTGCATCTCCAACAGGAGCAATGAACTTTGACTGTCTGGTTGCTTCCTATCCCTTCAGCACCTACTCTACAGATGAAGCTGGAGCCAGTGCATATTGTACTCAAGTCAGGCTGCTTTCCTCCATCCACCTCAAAGACAGTCTCGGTACCTTATTCTCCCAGCCCCTGCTAGTCTATCCAGACCCTGCCTGTGCTTCTCGGGGTCCAGTTTGAATGGACCTTCAAAGAGCCCTAACATTTCTCAGTTATCTTAGGAGCTATCACAGGTATGGAGAGACTGGGTGGAAGGGATTCTGCATACCATTCTGGTGTCGCCATCATCCCCAGCCCAAATGCTTCTGTCAATCCAAGCATATAGCTGGGCTGCCATGTTCATTGCTCATGTTTGAGATGCAAAGGAGACATGAGCTACAGAGAAGGCATTCTCTACAGTGCTTAGGAAAAAAGAATAGAATATATTCATTTTATGAATGACAGGACTGAGGTCCTAGAAGTCAGGTAGTCCCCAAGGTCTCCAAGGTTGCACATCAAGTTTAATGGCAGCACTGGAACTAGAACCTTCATCTCCCAGTCACAGCCGCTGCTGCTCTCTTTAAGTCTCATCTGCTCCCTCTGAACTTAGAAGAAACACAGGAGAGGGAAGAGGGCACTGGGCCAGGCGTAGGAAACTGGGTTATGGTCCAGAATAGACTGACCCTAGGCAAGACCTTTCCCCCTGCCAAGGCCTCAGGGATCTGTCTTAGAGACAGACAAGACAAAATGTCTCTTGTGACAAAGAACATGTAGCTGTTTCATTTAGGGTCTAGGTTCACCAGAGTTATACTAGTTACATGGGACTTTTATCAACATTTCCTTGATAACACTAGCCCCCTTGGGGCCTTTGTGGTCACACGTACCTTTAGCTGAGTACTGGACAGCACAGTTGTGGGACTCCTGGGTCACTGCTGAGCGTTCAGCCAGAGAGAGCAGCTTCAGCGTGGTCCACCAAGTCACACCACTGTCCCATGAACAGACCTCCCAAGGGACCACACCGCGTATTTTAACTTGGGTTCCAGAAGCAACCGGCCCCCATAAGTCTAGAGTAAATATTTATTGGTTAAGTGAAAATGAGATACTGTCCAGGTAAGAACTGTAAAAAACAGAAATAAAAGCCAATTGAATAGCAGTGACATAATTATGACTCGGGTTCAGAACAAAGGTTTGTGCACAGCACCTTGGGACAGCACCCTTCCCCTAGGCCAGGGTTCTCCGTGGTCTGAGGGTGCCTGGCTAGCCTTTTTTCATTCTTCTTTTTTTTTTAATTGAAATGAAGCAATGGAAAATAAGCAGGACTTCTCCCCATAGGCTTCTATGATGCCCTAAAAAAAGGTCTGTCTCCTAAAAAAGCCTCCACGCATTGTCCTGAAATGAGTTATAACCCTGCCTTTCAGGCTAAATGTAGGTCACATGTCCTGAGGACAAGCGTGGAGATTTTCAGGAAAATTTCCCAGATCATCTGAAGTAAAACTTGCCTCATCTTTCCCCCGTCACATTCCCATTTGCACATCTTGTCATGATCCCCAAATGCATCTCTCTGTCCCTCAAGAACCCTTCTTTCAAGTGGCTGGAATAGTGGCAGTCCTTTCTCCCTCTTCTTTCATCAAGGTTTCCCATCATGGACCATCAAGGTGATTCTCGGGTAGCAGTTGCCTGTTCTTTTCTCTCCTTGCTAGAATGGCTTCTGGGACCCAGGTGTGGAACCTAGTTAGCACTCCACAGTCCCTGCCATGGTCGGGGGCGGGGGGGGGGGATGTTTTCTTCCCTTAGAGTCTTTGTTGATGAAGTTCCATGTATTGATTCACAGCATTTGCTCCTGCTGTTTTCCCTCTCCTGACCTTTATCTTTCCCTGTCATTAGAGTTTAAAAAAAAAAATCTATAAAAACCCCAAACTAAAATCTGCATCCAAAAACGTCTCTGTGAAATGCGTGGCGTTTAGCAGTTACATCGTAATCCTAGCCAACACCTGGTGTTTGTGAAAGGGACCTCCCAGGGTTCTGAGCCCTAAGAAGATATCTGTATTAGCAAGAGCAGGCTTGCAGAGAGGTGAAGCATTTGAGAGGGCAAGGTGAAGGGACAGTCCGGATGAGGTGCAGGGTGGAGGAAGAAGACAAGCTGGGGTTTTGACTTAGCCTTAGGACTGTGATCCATCTCGCCTGGCAGGGTCCTGGTTTGCTGTAGTAGTGAAGCATTGATTACAAGAAAAAAAGATGAAATGGGCTTTTCTCATTCATTATTTTCATCTCCTAGCCGTGGAAGACAGAAAACTGTTCATAGGAATGGTTTCGAAGAAATGTAATGAGAACGATATCAGAGTGATGTTTTCTCCATTTGGCCAGATCGAAGAATGCCGGATTCTCCGGGGACCCGACGGGCTGAGTCGAGGTGAGTGTGCCTTGTATGAAGCCTCTTTCCTTAAGTGCTAATTGGAGCTCTGTGTCACAGTCAAGATAGATGTAGGCACGGCGTACAGCAGGAGGTCACCCTGTAATACGTCCCATGTGATGAAGTTATCCAGCCTGAACTTTTTCACAGTAGCTGAAGTGATCACCTTTTACTTCCCAGGTAGAGAAGGTCTGAGTGCCAGCATATTAGCTCAGGTCATCACTGTCACAGGGGAAGCTGACGGGCTGCCCCGTTACTGCACATCCCTTTTCAACCTCAAATTGAAGTAGATTTTGAGGGGTGAGGAGATGTGGAGGGTGAGAACGGCTTTGTGTGTTTCTGCCTTAGTCTTCTGGCTGGCTGCCTGTGCCTGAAGGAAACCGTAAGGGGATGTTCCTCTTAACAGCCATCCAAGCCAAGAAGCAGTGTCACTGCTCATGTGCAGGGCAGGACAGATACGGGCTTTGTGTAATTGGGTCTGTCCAAGGTTCAAAGAGTGAAGTCCCTGCAGTCCCCAGCCCAAGACAGAAAAATGCCTGTTCTGAAGAAGATTGTGGGCTCTCCTTTGCTACCATGATGGAAGTAAAAGCTGTGGCTGGGAGCCAGGATGAAGACCAGTGTTTTTGCAGCAACTCTAGGAAATAGCTGGAATTGGCCATTCTCTTCCCACGTCTGCCTCCTCCTTGACAAGACCACACAAACCTCCTTCCCTCAACCACGCACGAAGGTTGACATGCGTGTTAACAGTTGTCTGACTGCAGCTTTCAGACCAATCTGACGTGGAAACCTATGTGCAAAACATTTTTCAGGGTTTTTGTTTTGTTTTGTTTTTGTTTTTTTTAAGAAATCCCCATTTTTGAAACATGGGGAGGTTTTCCTTCTCTTCTCAGCACAGTTCCCAGTGCAGTTTCCATCGGGCACATTAGGAACTGTGTTCACTTTCAAGTTCTGCTTCTGGGCCATCAGTAGCACCCAAGCCACATGCAGAAAGAAAAAGTTGGGCCGTAAGTATAAGGTGCCAATGTTCCCCCATCTCACTAGTTTTACCTAATTCTAGCACCATGCGAGGAAGAACATTTGGGTTTTTGGGTTTTTGTTTTGTTTTGTTTTTTGACATAATGCTTCATGATGTCAGCTGCTAGAATTGAGAATTGAAGGCCCAGAGAACAAAAGTTCTACCTACATCTACCTCCAGAGCCCCAAAATGGAGGTAGTCTAGAGGAAAACTAAGAGGAGGCAGAGCAGAACCCAGATTTGGATCCCTGAATTTTCTTTGGAAGATGGCTTAAAGTGGGGGAATCAAAAAGGGCAGCAAGGAAATTGCAGTTTAGCATTCTGTGACACTTCTGAAATGCTGGTTATTTAACCCTCGCTTCAAAGAAGTGATTTTCTAAAAGCTGAACAGATATTAAATAGAATACCTAAATGGCAAATCCAGTGTCTGAGGCTCATCTGTACCTGTGGCTGCTGCCACTATCAACCAGAATCGTCCATCATTGTGATGGACACAGGCCAGGCCAACTCTTATCACACCTGGCCATCAGATTGTCCTGCTGTCGTTTTGTGCATGTAGACATCTCCATCCACACACTCAGGCAGACAATACCATGGGGCCGGGCACAGTGGCGAATGCCTGTAATCCCAGCAACTTGGGAGGCTGAGGCAGGAGAATCACAATTTCAAAGCTGGCCTCAGCAACTTAACAAGGCCCTAAGCAACTCAGCAAGACCATGTCTCTAAATAAAATATTTGAAAAGGGCTAGGGATGTTGCTTAGTGGTTAAGCACCCCTGGCTTCAATCCCCAACACACAAAATAAATAAATAAAAATAAAAAGAATACACTTTGAAGAGATAGTGTAGTGAGAGAGGAAGGGTGTAGGAAAGACATGATGACGTTTTTGTGATCCTCTTTTTGCTGCTGGTTTAATTGGAATCCCTAGTCCCTGCTGCTATTATTCTCAGTCCCATGTTAGCATAGTGGCATTTTTCATTCCCCAATGTATAAAACATGGAGAAAGGACAAAAAGGGAGGCCCTTGAAGTAATCACAGTGAGAATTATGGCAGCTTAGAGCTCACTGACCCCAAGTTCCAGTCTGACACGACACGTGACCTTAGTTGATTCCTTTTCCTAGCTCTATTCCTCAGTTTCCCAAGTGTTATTAACGATAGCAGGAAAATCTCTGCCCTGCTCCTCTTGTAGAGTGTCACTGCTCGCAGGGGTGGTGGCCTCTGTCTAAACTTCACATCCACCTGGCTTAGAGAGCTAGGAGCTGAAGTGCTAGGCTCTGCTCGGCCCGGCCCATTGCACCTGGCTCCCATGTCACTGTGTCCCTCTGTCCTGTAGGTACAGGAATTATCAGCACTGCTGCCCCATGGCATTGAGAGCTCCCGGAGCACGTATTAGCTCTTTCTGCACACAGGATTTGAAGGCAGCCACGACTTCCATGGGAAAGAGCAGGACACACATATTTAAAAGGAGAACTTAGCTAATTTGATGTGCCATTTGGTTGATTAGCCAGCACTTGACACCAGAAGCAGTTTGTTTCTGAAACAAGTTGTGGGAGCCCACTCATCAGTATTTTATGCAAATGCTGGCCCGATGTAAAGAGGAGAGTACCCCTCCCCGCTTCATTTTAACGGAAAAATAATTTCTGGTGAACTGATGAGAATTCCCTAATGGAAAAAAGAAAATACTCATTTATAACCATTTGTTCTGAAATATAAGACAGACAGTGGTACTTTTTTTCAATTAGCAGGACCCGGGGACTCCTGGTTATAGGGGCCTGCTCCTGAATCAGTGTATTTGTTAAAAAGAACAATTCTCTTCGTGCTAGTGTTTTGCTTTCATTAAAGAATTTCAGTTTTCAATCAAATATTGATAAGTGCCTCCCATTAACGGTGTCGCAGATAAAGGGCACTCAGCATTTCTTTTTCCCAATGTCTATTGCTGGCTCCGCTATTTAGAAAATAAATGAAAATTAAGCGACACAAGCTTGGCTGCTCTGAAAAGCACCTCCTGAAATCAAACCACGTTATAAACTATGCAGTAAGAAAGTTCTTAAATCAGAATATTTGGTTAGGAGGGTGAGGTGCAACCTGGTGGTTGCTCCTTTCCCTGCTTTTGTGCACTTCAACTGTAGCAATGGAAACAAAGGGAGCATTTAGCCTCACTGGCTCCCCTACGGGTTCCAATGTCATTTCTTCGGGCACATCAGTAGTCTCAGCTCCTCCCTAGTATGCATTATGCTGAGGTTTCCCAGGCTTGCCGACTCTTATCCTCACTGCATCAGCATGGAGGACCAACAGGGCCCACAGATGTACCTGTCACACCCTGCTAGACCTTAAGTTAGAGTCACTGTCTTTTTCTAAAAGAAAATAATAATAATAATTATCATCTACACCTTGGACAGAAAGATTATTTTTAAAGTCCCATTGCTGGTCACCAGCCCCAGCCCCATCCCACCTTCCAGGGCAGCAATCTCAGGAAATGGTGGAGACTTGCTTCTCGAAAACCACTGAGCACCTGCCAAGCACATGAAGCTCCTCTTCGAGGTTAGGACTCCGCCCCACTTTAGACAATCTACCCACATCCAAGTAGGCATCTCCCTTGGGGGCGGTAACCCATTCTTTCTGCCCTCTCTTCTGTTTCTTCTGTTTTGGAAAATATGGTTTGTGGTGCTTTCAAGAAGCTTCATGATACTCAGACTCCTGTGCATGGCAGCGTGACCTCTCGAGGCCTGCTGCGGGGAACCTTCACTGCAAACACCAGCAGGAAACCACAGGCCCACCCATTAAACCCAATTGAGATGTTTGCTCACAAAAGCAAAACTCTGTTTCTAAACAAGTGTATTGGTCTGACATTGTCAGCTTAGCATGTTGATTTCCTAACGTATCCAAGTTCTCACCCATAATCCTACAGTCAGAATGGGCTGTCTAGGTACATCCTACAAGGTTTTCTGTACTATAGCCGTTGAATTATCTGTAATTATCTTCACTGTGGAGACAGTGAAGAAATTTATTTCATTTTTCATTCCCATAAACTGTAGTCAAATCTTCACTACCATTTAAGGTAACTTTCTGCTTGTTTAAGAATATTCCAGCTGTGTTTATGGTGTTCCAACATTCCCCTGCCAAAACCCTTGACAAATGAATTGGCAATATTTGCGGGGATGTTGGAGAGCACAGACTGGAGTTAGCCATTAAATCCTCATCTGTTTTTGTTGTATCTGATCAAGATGTTAGGACAGGGCTTTTGACCGCCCAAACATCTACACGGAGAAGACTCGGTTTTGATTATGTTAGCCCTGTCCACACAATACCTAAACATTCAGATATGTGGAAACTTTTTATCACATACCCCCTGGAGTATTGACTGCCTTTTGCCATCTTGTTCTGAATTCAATCTTCCAACCTCATCTCAGTGATGAGATCTTGCCAGCTATTAAGTAGGTTCAGGTGCCATAATGAAGGACATCTCCACACCAGTGTTAATAAACTAACCCAACACTGGGGCTGGTGCAGTGGAGGACTAATTTTTATGTCCCACTATTATGCTGATACCATGTGTTCAATCACCCTTGCCACGGCTACAATGATACAACAAGAAAAATCGACTGCATTAATGCCTTTGTTCAACTGACAGGGAATTAATAAACAAGTTTCCATAGGTTAAAATCTCTTCCCTGCTGCATAAGTTACTTTAAATTATGTTTCTTTCAGTTGAAATGTAGCAGGCTGCCACACCTTTTTCAAAGAAGTAGCAAAAAAAGCAAGGAGCCCTGACATTGCTTGTGCTTTTAAAAGTACCTATACTTTTTTGGGGGGAGGGGGTGTGAAGCAAGAATTCATAGTTCTGTAAAATTCTCTTACAGCTGAAAGAAATGGTAGAACACCTGAGTTAAGATACCCTTTCAAATGAAATGACAAGTATAATAGATGTGTTCCAGAATCTTCTCTGTGACAGGGCTACGTGCTTTCCTTAGACCCTGTCTGTAGGAGGAAATTACTTTGTGAAACCTTTCCCCAGTCAATCATCCATTTGTTTTAGCAGCAAGAAGGCAACCTCACCGAAATAAAAGGAATTCAACTCCTTTCATTCCTATTAGTAATCTCAAGGTAAATTAACAGGTTGGCCACATTTATAGGTGAATTTTATTTTTGTTTTTGCTGCTGTGTAATTGCATATTCACACAAATTCATACCCAAACCAAAAAAAAGGAGAAAGAAAGAAAGAAAGAAAGAAATGCACCTTTGTTATTTTGAACTTGTACTTTTTACCCCCAGTCTGATTTCTCCAGCATTTTAGTTGTCAGGGAATTGATGACTGAGCTAGTACACTCAACAGTCCAAAATAGCTAAGGTCCAACTCTACAGGATCAGGGTTATGTCCTCTCAAGACTCAGAAACCTCCACCACCCAGAAGAGAGGACCAATTTTGACTTACTTCTTTCCAATGGAAAACCATCCAGTTAGCTTGTGAGGAAAAGCCAGCAGCCAGTTACAATGGTAGAAGCTCACTTGACCCCATGTTCATAAAAAGCCACAGATTGGAGGCCTAATCCTAAAGCCATCACTGTGTTTTCAGTGGTGTTGAAAGGAAAATTAAAATCTATCCCTGGGACTACCGTGAACTCCTGTTTTAGTGAAATTACAAAGGTTAACAAGCCACTCTTCCAAGAAACATTTGGTTCTGAAGTTGCCCTTCGTCCAATGTGGCATAGTGAGTGCGTTTTCAACATGTACTCCCACTTTATAAGTGACACGGTAATTTTTTCTCTTAAGTAATTGAGCAGAGCACACAAGTACAGAACTTGACAGAAGCCCCTAAGGAGACAGCTCCTCTCACTGCACCACTGCCAATAGAATAAAAAGGTTAAAGAAGTCATCAGATTTGTCAGATCAGTTTTTGGATGGGGTAAGGATTGTATAATGAGAAGCATCAGTCAAGTTTTTAATTGCAGGTTTCATAGAGAAAAGGGCAATGGTTCAAGTTTGTAGAGATTTAATTTTATTGTTCTATTGCTAATACTTTTCTTCTGAGACCTGCTAATTGCTTTATCTTTCTCACTAAGTTACTTACAAAAGTTCTGCTTGTATGAAATTGTGGAAAATGCATAAACTATGCCTTATTGATTCTTGTTGACATTTTACATGTTTTTAATGCATTTTTAACCTCCAATTGGAAACTGTCAGTTTGACCCATGTGCCTGGATAATAAGAGCAAATGAAGTGAATGTCACTATCTTTTTGACTATTAAAAGTAGAATTAGTCCAGGCTTCGAATGGTTTCAAATGTGTCTCCGTTAGATGATTTGCTTTCGCCTCCATTGTACTCTCAAGGCAAGAAGTAAAAAAAAAAAAATCTCTTAGCATTATTTCCTCTGTATAATGTCGGTGATGATCATAACATTTTTGGAGAGAGATTACTTAGAAACAGATGGTAAATTTGAGACTATAATTTTAGACCTTCAGCATCGATATGGACGCCAGGAGAGGTACTGTCATCTGTCTCACACTCTATTACCCACATCGTCTAGATGCCTTAGAGAAGGCCACTAAATTGCTTTTATTGATGACAAAGGCTGCAGTCAGCCTAGGTACAGGCAGCATGTTTAAATAGTAAGCTTCGCCAGTACTCTCCTGTCGGAGAACTAGGAGACGGCTCACATCCATGGCAAGTAGACTTCATTCCGGCTTCTTCAGGCCCTCTTAATCGGGAGGTGAATGCAAGATGAATTTCCCATATACAGAGAGTTTTTGTGTATGATTTTACAGTATGATGCAAAAAAGGAAAAAAAATGCATTGACTTATTTTCATGACTGGATGTCATTGTGCGTTGGGGGTAGTGGGCAGGCACTGCTTTCTCTTAATACTGTTTGATTAAAAGGTGCTACGACAGTATTGACTTGATAATCTCACCAGGTACACATGCAGAGCAAAAGAAGAAAACATGTTTTATGGCTCACAAATTGATTTACATAAACCAAACAATCTGCTGGTTGTTTGAATGTAGAATGTTCTATTTTGCTTATTGGCCACAGGGGCAACAATCTCGTATTGTTGATGCCAGATTTCTGCTTTCATGCATTCACTCTGAAATGACAATAGACTTCAGCCTCTCAGTGTTTAGATCTGCTTCATTTGGAAATCTTTTAAGTAGTAATAATAATAATGTTTTGAGGAAATTGAGTGGAACACTAAATTATTCTCTGATACCTAAGTTCAAACTGTGCAAGGCTAAAGAAGCTGAAAATCAATGCACTTTTAAAGTCATTAGAGATCATAAGTGAAATAAGTCTGTATTGCTTTAGCTAAGCTTTTAGTGTGCTGTGGTATTATTATAAAATCAGCCTGAATCTGCATTAATTTCACAGTCTTTTTCTCTAAGAAGCCCAAGGGTGTATGATGAATAAAATGTAAATTTCAGAAGGCAGTGTTTTTATTAGTGCAAAGGGCAATGAGCCGTGTAGTTGGAGCGGTGACCTGCATGGTGGCCAATGCCGCTTACAAGAAGCTGGAACTGGCACCATAGATTCTAGTTATTTAAGAGCACAGTAAAAATTAACATAGGAAGCTTTGCAGGTCTCAAAGTAGACATTCAGAGAAATGTGCATTGTCTTGTGTATGTTAGATTGTAGATCGAGTCTCTCAGATTTCAGAAAGTCACAACTTTGAAACACCATAAAGGTTTTCATACAAACAAATCCAATGCAAACTTTGTAATTTGACTTTATACACACTATTGAATATTCTCAGAGTAATAGTGCATTGGTTTTTGTTAATAATAAGTCATTTGTAATGGATTTGATATATTCGTTTGCATTTGAATAGCTTCAACTTATATTCTTATGTATTGATTTTTTAACTGCCTAGAAGGAATTAGATATATTTATTTGCTGATATTTTGAACTCTTGAAATTTACTAGTTTGCCCTTGGTATGAGTATTTTCTTATTTACTTCTTAAAAATTAACAACAGAATTTGAAATACAAAGCCCTGATGTATGGATGCCCTCGGTGTCAAGATCCTTAGCCAAGGAGAAAATGGAAAATAGCAACATTTTATTTTGGCAAATGCAAAGTAGGTCTTGCTAATTTCAAACCCTGTGGCTGAAAAAAGAAACAAACAAAAAAAAAGGAGTACCCAACTTCCTCCCCAAGTTGCCATTTAAAAAAAAAAAAAAAAAAAAAAACTAAATAAATCTTTCTGCTTTGGTCAGATTAGCAAGTCAGCACTGAGAATAAAAAGCAAAATAAGATAAAACCAAAGAGAGAAGTTGTTTATTTTTATGTACTACTGAGAACAGTGTCGTCTTGTGGCAGTTCTCGTAGACTGTGTTGGTTTAACAAGCGTCCAACCCTTTTGTCTTGTTGTTTTTTGTCTTTCCTGCTCCCTGTCCCCTTGTTTCCCACAGGCTGTGCGTTTGTCACATTTTCTACAAGGGCAATGGCACAGAATGCAATCAAAGCCATGCATCAGTCTCAGACCATGGAGGTACTGTATCATCTGCCCTTTCTTTGTTTTCTTTGTGCAAATGATGGGGAATGGTAAAGCAATTCTCTCCTGTGTGGATTGTTCACATGACAATCACAGATTTAAACTTTCACCATCTTGCTTTTTATCCATTCATTTTCATCCTCCTCCTACTCTCCCTTCCTCCCTCTCTCTCCCTCTCCACCCCACTTTCCTCTCTGTCTCTGCTCTCTCTCTTCCTCTTCTCTCTGCATTTTCCCCCTAATGACTTGAAATGCATTTAGTAAAAACCTTCCACTTTCTCTACTGTTATCTGTTGAGCCTTGTATGGAGCAGCCCAGGTCCTGCAATATAGTCACTGGGCACTTTAAGCAAAGTGTCCTTCTGGACCTAAAAGATCAAATGCATCCCTTCCCCAGGGTTGGCGCGGGTGAAACAGCTACAGCCCCCACCCACAGAGCTGCTTGCCCTGTACTAAGTCAAAAGGTTCTCTTTTCAATGCAGGACCAACCTACCTGTAATTTAGTCAGATAAAATTCTGGTTTTGCATGTTAAGAATGGTGGAGAAAGTTAATACTTCTCCCACTTCACAGCGTGATGCTAATTTTTGAGAGTCCCCAGAAAAAAATTAGATTGGTCTCCGTACTTAAAGATGAGCAATAGCAAAGAAACCTTTATGAAGGCTCAAATTTGATCTCTTAATGAGATGAGAGTGACTTTAAGGAAAGATAAACACTCTGGTGTGGATGCATACCTACAAATGTAGATAGATGGCTCTGTATTTTAGTCTGTGATTTGGGTCATGGCCTTTCTAAATTTTGCACAAAAGCATTCCAAGAGTGATATGCCGTTACTTATTCTGTACTGTCTGATAGAATCATTTGGGAGTGCATGTTCTGCTGTGTTCTGTACACTGTATCTTTGTGTGTGGGTGATCTCTGGAGGTGGTGGCCTTGTGGTATTATCTGAAGCTATGTTTTTTTCATTTTTTGAAAACAAAAAAAGATATTTTCAATTTTATTTAATGTGCAAAAAAAATATTAAATTGTTTGAGCTGCTTTTGTGCTCCCATTTTGTTGGGGCTTTATTTTTTTGTTAGTTTTTGTTTGTTTTTTTTGTTGTTTTTTTTTTTTTTGCAATGCTGCACCTCCCAAAGCATGCTGGGAGCTAAGTGATCATCATGCTTCTTGTTTTGTGGGCAACTTTTTTGTAGTGAATCAAAAAGCGGGTGGCAAGGGGAAAGGAGTGTGCATGGCATTGTCATTAAGTGTTTACTGTACTTTTCTGAGTTGTGATATCAGCATTGCAAAGCCTACTGTCTTTTGAATATTCATTTTGACTTTGATATTCCTAACATCCTATATAATCGATGTGTTTTCCTTTCAGTGCAATGCATTTTTAAGACACTCCCTCCCCCCTGCCTGAAGGCAAGCTCAGGTGAAAATCGGCCATGATAGGAAATGATTAGCAGGATTTGAAATCTCTAGGAATCCAATCTTGTACAACATTGCGATCACATATGTGATAATGTTTTGGTTCCCCTTTTTCTCATAGGCCGCTCCATTATTGGGGATTTCCAGCTATTTTTCAACTTGGAGATTAAAGTGAAAGTGCTGTTAGGGGTAAAAAAAAACATTACCTGAATTGATCTTTCATACATGTGTTTCATTCTTAATTATTTTTGTTTCCTGTAATTTAGGGACTTACACCCAATTTGGTCTCCCCTTAGTGAATTTTTTAACCTAAGTCCTTTCAGCTCTGTTAGAAACATTGCCATACCCTCCCTTCACTCAAGAATCCCCAAGTGATAATACAGAGAATATGGATGTGGCCTGGGTCTCCTGTGCTCCTCTAGGAGATCATAAGCCAGCACTGGACATGAACCAAAACGGAGGAACACAAGGCTTTCATACTGGAAAGATCCATTAGAGGGAATGGGGCCTATTTATTCTTAAGAAATCCTTTATCCTTTATCATTAATATATCTGTTGTTTTTAAAATTGGACATCAATGCTTAAACAAAAGGGCCCCCAGACACTTTAGTTTTTAAAAATTGACATTTAAGTAGAAGATTAGGTGCTATGCAATTACATTATAAATACACATTTATATTTGTTTGGCTTTTTAACTAATCACATTATTTTCAGGACTCTGGCATACATCTTTAACCAAGATGTATTATTTAATTTAAAATTATGTGAATATTATAAGAATAAAGTCTTTCAAACACTTTTACATTGTACCTTCTCTCTCTCCACCTCCCTGCACTCTACCCCCCTTTTCTCTTTCATGATTTAAATGAGACATTTTAAAAGCCATAATCATTGGTTCTAATCTTCTGCCTTTATATCGCTTTTTTAGTATTTTAAGCAAGAAAAAAATAAGTGTACTATTAGGAGGAGATGCTGTTATTTGTTAGGGACACATTTAATACAACAGTAACACCTTTTTTTCCATGCAAAACCTTCTCTCTCTAATTTCCATTTTCAGAGTATTTTGCCCTCTGTAAAGTGACAAAGTGCCGGGGAAGGTGGCTCAGTGGTTGAGGCCAAGTGCAAGACCCTGGGTTCCATCCCTAGCACCACAAATAAATAAAATAAAATGACCAAGTGCTGAAATATAGAGCCGATTTTAAAAATGAAGTACAGATTTTTTTTAATGGTAGAAATGTTATTTTTAAGCAATTTACTGACACTTAACTTTCTGTACCGTGACTCTGCCTACCAGAGCTGAAGACTTCTTAAGCTGGAAGTTCACTAAAACACTCATCTCACATTTCTCACCACCCCCACCAATAACAGGCACCATGGTCTCATGCATTGACAGCTACATCCCAAGGTGATGGGGGAGGGAGGGGTATAAGCTTGTTTTCTAGAAGAAACAAAAATGACCTAAAAGGAAAGAAAAGGAAAAGATTATTTAAATAGAATATCACATTTCTAAGAGGAGAGAAAGGGGTCTGTCAGCATGCTGAGTTTCAATAAAAGTTTCTGTTTAATCCCTTGAGTAGAATTACTTCTTTTTACCTCAGCAAAATTTAACAGCTCTCACAGTGACGTAGTGTGCAGACAGGCCACACCAAGACCCAGAAAGAGCCAGGGAGGTAGGAGGCCCATTTCTGCTGCGTTCTTACCAAGTGGCAGCAGTTTCAAAGGTGCTTAGGAAAGAAGCATGGTGCTTGAGGTACTAGGCCAGTTATTTCCCCCAAAGAATGTGTCTGCCTCCAAAACAAAATCATCCTAGAATAGGGTCTTTGGCCATTTCTCGCTACCCCTGCTCTCTGCCTTTTCAAGGACATTAAAACTGAAAAAGCTGCTAGAAATGTGAGGTTCATCAGGGAAAGAAGCCACCCAGAATCCTCCTCCTGCCATTCATAACATCTCTCCTTTAACTAGAATGTGCTTCTGGTTCTGCTGGTTTGCAGTAGCTCTAGAGACTTTGGATAGAGAGATGTGACATGGGAGGAAGAAGAGAGGCCTCTCTGAAAACATGTGAACAGTTATTTTGGTCAGTGCCTATATTTTCTGAATATCTCCTTCCTTCCTTCATCCACATTCCTAAAATGAAACCCACTTCTCTGTTATTGTTGTTCAAACATATGAAACTAAAAATTGGAAGGAGTTTTTAGAAAAGATGAATGAGAGACATTCTTATTCCCATGACGATGCTGCCCCCTTGTCCTTTGCTCAGGTATAAACAGGCCGACACACAGAGGCAAGGCCATCTTTCAGACAGCCAGCCATGAAGCCTAGACATAGATCAGGTCTTTTGTCTCAAAGGAGGTCCAGGAAGGCTGAAGGAAGATGCAGGAGGAGAGAAGGAGAGGCAGTATGAGGATCAGAGCAGGAAAGCAACCAGCAGATGCCCCAACGAAACCCAGGACAGGATCTGGAGTGTTCTATTGATAGTACTATTCAGAGAAGAAGAAGGAATATCAAACCATCTTTAAACCATCCCAGACCATTCCATGTGCTCTGAGTTGAGAGAGATAGATCCGGTGCTGACTGAGGGCCCCGAGAGGATGCGACCCAGCTGTAACTTCCTCTTCGCTTTCCAATGTGTCTGACCACAGGGCTGCTCTTCACCGATCGTGGTGAAGTTTGCTGATACCCAGAAGGACAAAGAGCAAAGGCGCCTCCAACAGCAGCTGGCACAGCAGATGCAGCAGCTCAACACTGCCACCTGGGGGAACCTGACAGGGCTGGGCGGACTTACCCCACAGTACCTGGCGGTAAGTGCACCCCACCCAAGAGAGAAACACACCCTGCGATCCACGAAACCCCGTTGGCTACTGAGTATGCTCAAGAATTCATTTTCCATACATTTTGAGTCTCGAGAATTATTGAAACCACCAAGTATGCAGAATATTTTCCCAAGCTAAATTGGCTAGCATAAGAACGTGACCGATTTAGTCCTTGCCTAACATGCTGGGCAAAGTCCCCTGGGCTAGACTCCTACCCAGTATGTCAAGGCATCCTAAAACCTCGTGTTCTGAAAGAAGACACAGCATGCTTGATGGCCCATGAGCTAAGGATGTTGACTAGCTGGAAGGCTGATACCTGTCAGGACCTCTTCTGAGATCTCCTGGGACTTTGAGTCTGCATTTCAAGCCTTCCCAGTGGTCCCACCTTGAGTACATCAACTGTTTCCTACTTTCTCCTTGTGAAACCAGAGAAATAAGGTCCACTGCAGACCAAACAGACCCATTTCCCTTGGCCATTCCTTAGCATCCCTTCTTTCTAAACTTTTACTTTCTAAGAGTTTCCTCTGTTACTGTTTCACTTAGTCATTGTCTCTACTGAAATACAGTGGCCAGAATTTAAGCCACTTCCCTAGTAAGAGCTAAATGGGACAAAGTAGTGACCCCTAGTGGATTTAAAACATCTTCCTGGAGCCTGAGAGTGGCATTTGCAGTAACTGTGTCCAATGTGAGCTGGGAGGCATTGGATACTGCTAAATTATATTTTTACTCCAGCTGCTACAGAATGCTTCTCTCTCCATTTTTCTACTTTGGAGCCTAAATGTTAGACTTCACATTTATTAATTTAATTTCATATAGTGAGTCTGGGCCTTTTATTCCAGCCTCAAGAGAAAGAGAACGAACACGCAAGCACATACACACGACGTGTCCTAATTCTGTCATCTTACATTTTAACTATCCCTCTCAGGATTGGATCATCCATTAGCTTTACTTTCTAGCAGTAACTGCACTGTTTTCTAAGACAGTTACCTTGAAAAGGGAGAGTGTCCTATTTGTTGTAGAGATAAGGAAAGGGAGGCTCAGAGACTAAGTAGCTTTACCTTCTTACCCATCCACCCCCAGTGCCCAGAAGGGTCTGCAGTGGAACAGCTGTTGGTTAATGGATGAGACGCATGCTCTTCCTGTCTTCATCTGGTTTGTTAGCAAAAGCATTGAAAAAAGCATTATTGTCACCTTCTGGCCATTTCTATCTTATCCTTGAAGATACCATGAAAGATTTTGTCAGACATCTTGCTAAAATCTACATATGCTCTACTTAACAATTTGTGTTTTCACAAACTCATGCTGTTGGAATGTTTACAGTCCATCAGTTTGATTGTGTGGACCAGAACTCGTATCCAAGATTGATCCATGCCTGCCTTTTCATTGTTTGTGAGAGTCAAGCTTCCTGCTCTACCATTTCTGAGAACCAAGAGGCGAGGCAAGTGCCTGCCCTCAGGATTCCCATATGTCACTGCACTCCACAGTTCACAGAAATCTCTGGTGCATGTCTCTGTGACCACATCTGCAAATTATTTGCATACCTGAAAAAGAATTAATTTTAACATCATTTATAAAAATGCATTGCTATAAACTCTCTTTTCTCTCCTGATAGGCACTAATTCTTTCTTATCCGTGTTTGCTTTAACCCTTCCCTTTGAAAGTCCTGTCCTCTGGAAGGGCTCATGGCCTTTAAGGCATCTCCTGCCTCCATTGGGAGCCCAAATACTGGCCCTGGCTCACCAAAGATTACTTATCCATGGAAATAATCCTTGGTGTGTGTGACAGTGTGTGACAGTCCAGGTATTTTCCCTTACCTCAACAGATGTTATTAATTTCTCAAAATGTCTTCAAAGCTAATTTAATTTTACACCTTTAAATTTTTTTAAAATATTTATTTTTAGGTTTTAGGTGGATACATACCTTTATATTTATGTGGTGCTGAAGATCGAACCCAGTGCCTCATGCATGCTAGGCAAGCGCTCTGCCACTGAGCCACAACCCAGGCCCTACAACTTTAATTTTTAAAAACATCTAATGTTTAAAAACACCATGCTTGGTGTTTTTACATCACTTAATACATTCTCATTTTTTAAAATTCATCCAACCATAGAATTTTTCTTATCAAATGGAAGAAATCTTTACTCTCCCATAGGAACATCAGTGTTCTATGTTGTTTCACACAGCTCCAAATATGTTCTGAAAGCTGTTTCTAATGCATCTTGGAATTTGTCCTGTTCCTCTTAAGCACATAGTTCCATAACAATATTCTAGTAGTAATTTGGTAAATCTTCATCTGTTGGTATGCAGGTACTTTGGAACATGAGAGGTAACTGTGTTCCATCCTCATAGTGTAACACCTGAACTAACCTACAGCTCAACTAAGTTGGATGGGAACTGGAACCTCATGCCTTAACCTGTAACACCCACTGATTCTATGTGACAGGAAAAAAAGGTGTTTTCAGGGGAAAACGCAGACTTTTTAACAACCATATTAATTTCTTTTTAAAAAGATTCTGATGTATAATGCATAGCTTCAATATATAGACAGGTAGCTAATTCCAAGTTTTGATAAATAATAGGTTCTCTCTGCCAGTGTAAGACCATCTTAAAATGGCTGACCATTTTCTTGGCCATGTGGATGTGGCTGTATGTGTAAGAGTGTGACAGATACACTTATGTCTATAGTTATCATGATGATCTTCATGTTGGCCTAAGAGTCAGTAACCCAAGTGCTTCTGATAAGGGATAAAGAAAGCTGAACTGTGAAGAAAAGTAGAAGAGGAGGGGATGGACCTTGATTGACAGAGATGAGTTATGGTAACTACTAGACTACAGAGAGATATAATTAGTCATGCTATGTTGGTTTCAATAGATTTAACACCTGGTTGTTAAAAAGAGTAAATTTAATTGTTTTAAGGCAGCAGTGTTAGTGAGTTTCCCCAAGTGTCTATGTTTCTTAATAGAGATTAGACATTAATATGGATTTACAGCCCCAGCTCTGGGGACCTTCAGTCCATCAATTGCAGCAGTCGCAACCGGCCACATAAATGTAAAGGAAGCAGAGTTTGCCGGCAGTTTAATGAGGAAGTTACTTTGTCCTCATCTCTGCAATGTTCTGACTTGACATTTGTGTGTTCATTTGCAGCTTCTGCAGCAGGCCACCTCTTCCAGCAACCTGGGTGCATTCAGTGGCATTCAGCAAATGGCTGGTAAGTCCTGAAGCCTGTTTTTCCTTTTGACCATGCATTGTCTGGGGCAGAGAAAAGAAGCAGGGAACAAAAACAAAGACTTATTAGCTTTAAAATTAGAATCAGTTGCTCATAAGTGGTTCTTCTACTTTTTGCATTTCCTACCTACCCTTCCATGTGTGTAACAGTTATAAGGTGAGGGGGTTGAGAATTCCTCTATAGTAAGCTATATAGTCATTGTTTGTTGTTGTTGTTGTTATTTTAATAGGATTGATTACTGGAGGATTTCCAGCAAATTTCTATATCTAGTACAGCCAAAATGATTGACATACCTCTAACATTTTAATAATAGGCAGTCAATAAAAATGTTCTGACCTCCATAATGAAAGCCAAGATTGCAGTCCTATATTTGATACAGTTTGTAGTCCCTTGATAATGACAGACAATTAACAGGGTACCTTTTTTTTTTTTACTTTAGTACCCCAGTTGACAGAATTGTGCATCAGAAGCTTTTATGTAAAAGTATAATCTTTGTTCTCAAGAAAATCAAAGTGCGACTGCATTTGAAAGGCAGCTCATTGAAGGATTCCTTTTCATAATGAGCTGTGCCAGTAGTTGCTGAGGCGCAGTGATTAGTGAAAGGTCATTCCTACTGTGTCACCGTCCATGCTGATACCCTACCTTTACACGGGACCAGAGCAGGCAGCGTGTGCAAGAAATCAGAACACAGGTGCCCATTAACCTGCTGGGAGGAACAGTTAGGAAGCTTTTTCCTTGTTTGATTCCAAAAGAGTGGGAGGGGGGATAAGTAAAAGAACAGATTTTTGGCATATAGTGAAGCACAGTTTGCTTTTATCAAGGACACCCTGAATCAATGAAATGAAACCTCAGAGTGCTGCATAAAAGCCAGATTTCTTTACCTGTCACTGTGAAAACTCATTTGTATCACTTTTTTGTTGTTGTTCAAATGCATATTCTTGTTTTTGTTTTTTTTTTTTTTTCTGGTTCTCACTTTGAATCTGAAAGGACTTTCCCTGTGCATTCTCCCCATGTGTCCTATGACCTTCAGCCCAGCCAGAATGGTGGTCTGTGGGCTAATGGTAACTCTTTGTCTGATGGTATGCATTGGCCTACAACAAAAATACTGCTGAATGATTTCTTGGGCTTCAAATGATTTCTTTTGGCATCACCTTTTTTGTCGGCTGTAATATAGCTTTTAGGTTATTGGGAAAAAAGATATCTTGAAAACATAGTTAAATTAATGCAGTATATTTACAAATAGCTTGGGAAGCTCGTCTTGGAACTAAGAATCAGATTGAATGATTAATTTATTTTTTAATTGTATGAAGAGAACTGGAGCAACATTTGTAAAATTTTCAGGAGCCTTTCTATTTAAAAGAAAAAAAAAATGGCACGCCCTAAAATAAATGCTAAGACTTGTGACGTTTTTCAGCTGATTGGAAGTTTGTTTCTCAAAAAAAATGGCACGCCCTAAAATAAATGCTAAGACTTGTGACGTTTTTCAGCTGATTGGAAGTTTGTTTCTCTTTACACCGTCCCTCCCAGATCCAAAATTAGGGGCTTTCCTTAGAGGAAGCCTCAGGCTCTCTCACTTCTGCACCTGAATTATGCAGAGAAGGTCACTTAGTCCTGAGGCTACTGCTGAGCTTGTCCTCCCAGGTGGATGGAGGGCCCTGTCATTTGTCATTAGGATGTGTGCACCTCAACCATGCCAACCACAGGTCAGGATATTAGCATCTATATGTTCCACATGCTCATCTGAAAACTAAGGGGGTCTGGGACTCACCTCAGAAGGTGCCATGTAGCAGATGGCCTTCTAATTTAAAAGCCTTCTGTAAATGCTCTGCTTTTTCCAAAATACCCATTTCTTGACTCTTCAACTTGTTAAATTCAGCATACTAAGTCTTCACAGGCTGTGAAATCAAATGCTGACCTGTCCATTTTCTATCAACCTCTTGAATATTTAAAGGTATTCAAAATTTAGGTGCCAAAAACTCTTGTATTCTTGGGTGATTTCTATAAAATCACCCCCCATTTGTATGGGTAATCACATCTCATCTTCCTAAGGATGTGAAGCATTATGGTTTAGAGAACTTTCTTTTTTCCAGTTTTGTTTTTTTTTTTAAAAATGGCCTCTCCTACTCCTGTCTTTTCCCAAAAGCAGGGCCTCACTTTTCTTTGCCATGGTCATGGTGGGTTGGGAATAGAGGTTATTTCCTAGAAGAAGCTTTGCCTGATTCCCCCAGGTGTGGGAGGGGTGCTCTCTTTCCCAAGCCCCTCCCTTCCTTCCTCATATCTGCATACGCTCCCTGTTCTTGGTGCTCCTAGCCACTCCGTGAGCTCCAAGAAGGCCTGGCCTGGTTGCTGATGGACTCAGCCTCTTACTCATCTGAGAGGTGCTCATGGCTAGTTGTGAAGGGTTGAATGAATAAATTTGTACGTGGACAGATGTAAATTTGTATTTTGTATATATTCCCAATACAGCTTAAGTTAAATGAATGAAAGAAATTTGTTTTTAGCCATATATATATATATATATATATATATATATATATATATATATAAAAACTAAGAATTTTTTAATTAAGAATTTTGGTAGCCATGTGTGTATATAAACAACAACAAAAACCATTATATAAACTAAATTCAGTATCCTCACAAATGAATTGTTGGGCATTTGGAGGTAGTTTGTATACTATAAAACATGTTCCAGAGCACATTCTATATAACAGATACAAGCAGAAGCCATGTGATAACAGTATCAAAGGAGCCTAAGAGGTCATTTATCTACAACCCCACCTGATATTAAAGTGTGTACTGATGGACTGGGGGTGTGGCTCAGTGGTAGAGTGTCTGCCTGGCATGCACAAGGCTCTGGGTTTGATCCCCAGCACCACAAAAAAAAAAAAAAAAAATTGTTTGTTGAGTGACTGATATTGTGACATAGTGAGAATGAACACATACACAATTCATATGCAATTTTTATGTATTAAAGTGGCATATTAAAAAACTCCACATATAAAACTCAAGTACTCCCGCTTAGAATACTATCACCAAAGAGAATGAAATATTTTGAAAACCAATAATATTTTGCTGTGAATAGCTCTCGACACATAATGGCCTGTCCTTCAGGAGATTGAGGTTTATAGTTAGAGTCTTAAAATCCCTCATTTATATGAGTAAAGCATTTTCTGCTTGAGGATAAAATAAAGTAAAGCCAAAAAAAGAAACAGAAAAAGAAATTTTAGACGACAAGTTACTAAGTAGTTGCATCAATAAAATCTAATGAGACATCAGCTATACTTTTTCCCAAAAAATAATCTTAACCATTTTCCTTTCAAACTAAAAATAACTTTATGTTTTATTATTTCTATAAAAGGGAATCTTTACTAAATATGGAATTTAAAAGCAGAAAATGGATTATGATCAAATCTTTTATCAGCTGAATCCTTTTATGTATACATACTGTCCTCTTTGAAGGTGATTGATTTTATTTTCCCTCTTAAAACTTCTAATAAAAACTTGGCCATTTCTCACTCATCAGTGGTATTTGTTCAGTGAATTTCTGAAATATGGGAAACCTGGGGCCTGACTTTGGACTAAGGTCTGGATTTTCCTTGAAGGAATAAGGGAAAAGTATCTTTTTGACCTTTAATTTCATTCTAACGACTATCACATCTATGAAAATTATTCTGATAGAAAAAACAAGTTTGCAGATAACCTAGATCCTTGTAATCATCATGCAGTTTATTCCCACAGTGTGCCAAGGACCAAATCAGTGCTTTGTTACCAAATTACAACTGCAAACGTGGAAGTACAAAAAGGTTAAATAAGTTATGGGAGACGACAGCACCAGTAAGTGGCACGATATAGATTCAAATAACTCATATCTCACAACTTTATGACGGAGGGGTTATCATACCCCATTTTATAGATGGTCTCTTTAACCTCGATTAATAAACTTACCCCAAATCACTAAGCTAGAAAGCATGGATCCTAATTTTCAGTCCAACCTAGCCTGATCCAAAACCTGAGCTGTCTGTGGCCTCCAAACTAATAAAACAGAGCCTTCCTCTCCCTACCCCATTATGAATCAGCCTACTATGGGAGGAATAGAGGAACTCTAGATAGAGCAGAGGGGTTGGAGGGGAAGGGAGGAGGCATGGGGTTATAAATGATGGTAGAATGTGATGATCATTATTATGCAAAGTACTTGTATAAAGACATGAATTGGTGCGAATATACTTTGTATACAACCAGAGATATGAAAAATTGTGCTCTATATGTGTAATAAGAATTGTAATGCATTCCACTGTCATATATATATATATCTCACACACACACAGAGCCTCATGTCGCAGCCAGTTCAGGTAATGGCAGCATAAATGCACGTGCTGCAGTGATTGACTACAGGAACAATTTAACAGGCCAAATAATGAGTTCCAGCCTGAGCTAGAACCCCATAACTATTAAAAAGCAAGCAATTCAGAGAAAATAACTGGAAACTGCCTCCCTTCATTCTGGAAAATATTTCCAGTTTATTAAGAGTAGGTCATTCTTTGTTGGGGGGAAAATTTTTTTTTTCTTTAGAATGAGGAATTTTTCTTAAACAAATTATAGATATTTGAAGTTATGGATAAAGAGAAATTATCTGTTGATGAAAAGGGAAAATGCTTCCTTTAAATTCTGATTTTCAGTAAAGCTGATGGTAAATCTCTTTCAGAATATCTGGTCTAGAATTTTTTTTAAATATTTATTTTTTTTAGTTTTAGATGGACACAATATCTTTTATTTTACATTTATGTGGTGCTGAGGATCAAACCCACTGCCTTGTGCATGCTAGGTGAGTGCTCTACCACTGAGCCACAACCCCATCCCTAGAATTTTTAAGTTAACAAAATTGTAGAGTACAAATATTTGCTTAAAACAACAAAATAGCTCTCCTTTTATCAATTTGAATTCTCCCAGAGAAGACTGTCTTGGAGTGTCTGTCACAAGTGGAGAAGAGGGAAGGCATTTGCACAATGTATGGGAGCCCTGAGAAGCTCCACTTGGAGCAGCTCCCAGTGTGGTGGAGCGTGCATGGTAGGCCCACAAAGACCCTGTGTTCTTCCTGAGTCTCCAGCAGTCCGCACCACAGACACTTCCTGCGAATGTGCTAATAGGCCTTATGAGAATGTTCTATAACCACCCATCTGTCACTTTTTAACAGACCTGATTGGCAAGCACTTGTAACAACTGACATCTGTTCTCGCTTATTGATATGCAGATTTATGGTAATTGCTATGAACAATAAGACACAAAATTACCTAAGGTGAACATTAAATTAAAATTTCATGCCCTTCTCCTTATAAATAATTTTTTTAAAATCTTATGTTTCAAGTAGGCATATTGCGCATCTGTTTTGTACATAATTTCTTCGTTTAGAGAAGGATTTTTTTTTCCCCAAGTAATGAATGAAAAGTGGATCCCTGTATTCCCAACTTTTTCCCCCCTTTTACCATCATCATTTGCAGCTCACTGTTAGATTCCTAAAATTTCAGATGTTTTGCATGTCTCCTCACCCCACTTATTGCCCCTGGTTTGAGGGGTGCCCATCTGAGCAGAGTGCTTCTTGAAGTTAAATGTCAGTTTTTCTTCTCAGAAAAGCTAGCTGTTTGCCAAGCCAGAATGAGCTTCCGGAAGGGTGACAGGCGCCTCTCCGTCTGGTGCCCTTTCATGGTGATTATGTAGGAGTAAGAGAAAGTGTGACTGGGGGGGGTGGAAAATGAGGAGGCGCCTGTGACAGGAGCTGAGAAAGAGGGAAAGGACGAGGAGAACTCACACGCCCTAAAGAAGAAAATAGGAACCAGAAATATGAATTCCAAAATGAGCAGGAGCAGGTCTCCCACCCCACACCCCAAGGCCTGTGGAGCCTTGACTTGACCCTGGGGAAGAATAACGCAGAAGGAGAAAAGGAGGCAGCTCACTCCTGGGAGCAGGCTCAGGGTCTGGGGTAGCCCAGGCCTGCAGGGTGACACTAGAGAAGGTGGTGTAACGACTAGGTGAGCCTGTCCTGACCCAGTGGCCCACATGGTTTCCATAACAGGGGCAGTGACTTCCTCCTAGGGAGGAAGGGATGATGAGATGCCACTTCCCAGGTGAGGGCTCCCAGGCTGTGGATGCATGTCAGTCACCACGGACATACGCTGTTGCCATTGAAGGGTTCAGAAGCACTGTGTCCAGTAGAAACGTCCCAGGCTCCTTCCACTTGTCCCAGAATCATTTCCCTGACACCAGTAGCATTTGGAAGACCAGGGGTGGTTCAGGAATGTCCTTGAGAAGGGATGAGCTAGAGAGTAGGCAGAAGGCCTCTGCCTGGCAGACACAAGAACACTGGGCAGAGGGAAAAGGCGCCTTCGTTACCCGGCAGCCTCTGTCCAGGTTGGTACTCCATTTTATAGGTGGTCTCTGTGAAGTCCTGGCTCTGCTCAAGTCCTCCTGAGTTTCAGCTGTGCCCAGAAATGCAGCTAAGCCTGGAGAAGATCGGATGTGGTGGGCTGCTTCTGTTGGGTGCATGGGTGGGTGTCTTTGTTCTGAATGGGAGAAGGGGCTGTTTCCTTTCCTCCTCCTCCCCTGTTCTCTGTGTCATCACTCCTCAGCTATCACTTCCTGAGTCTTCCTGTCACATAGTCACTGTCCCAACCCTAGGTTTGTCACTTAATGGTTTCCTGCTAGGACTTGTGTCTTTTTCAGGTTGTCTAGATTTATTTTACTTTTTATTTTTTACAGTCTATCATAAAAAACATTTTGCACATGATCTCTCTCTCTCTCTCTCTCTCTCTCTCTCTCTCTCTCTCTCTCTCTCTCTCACACACACACACACACACACACACACCCTCCTTCATAAAATTTCAGGAAGTTCATAGACCACCTGAATCCCTCTGAGGGCCCCCAGTTGTGTGGGAGAAGCAGCATGAACAGCCTCAGTATGGAGAAGAGGCCAGGGGTCCATTGGTTCACCAGGGCACTTGACACCAGTGGTCTCTGGCATCTGGGATCCTGGTAATGGATGCAAAAGGAATCACATTAAGAAATTTAAGAATTCAGTGATTTAGAGAGCAAGATGCAGTGTTTAGTCACAAAGTGGCTACTGGTTAACTCAGTTCTTAGCTACTAATGAAGATCTAATTCAGTCCCTGGATTTCAGACACCATAATTGAGTAGAGAACAGGATTGTAAGACACTGTCTCCCAGGCCTGCCGTTCCCACTCACCAGGACTCGAATTTGCTTCTGCTGGATTAACAGGCCTTCCCTGGCAGCTTTATGGGCTGAGTGCATTGGATGGTGGCAAGCCCACTCTGGGCAAGTGTGAGAAGCAGGTTACAGTTGACTTCTAGTGCCCCAGCCACATCTCCTTTTAAACCCCGCACCATTCCACCCCTTTCCTTCCTCTCCTCCCTGTCCCTCCTAAACTTTTCTGAGGTACAAAGTTTAATGAAGTAAGTGAAGACCAAGACACAAGGACAAACAGGCAAAAGAGCCCCAGATGAGGACCAAGAGGACAGAGGGACACGACAGGGAGGCCAGGTCAGTAAGGAGAGGGCAGCCACATGGAGAAGAAAGCAGAATTCTCACGTTTACCCAGGCCTGCTCCCTGGGGAACAGAATAGAGAATGGTGTTTGGACCTCCTCATGCCTCAGTTTCCTCTCTCTGTGGCCTGCACACAGCAGTAAGGCCCACACCGTGTGAGACTGTTATGAATACCAAGTGAGGGACCACGCGTATAGCACCAAGGGTGCCTGGCACCTGCTTTATCCTCATGACAATCATCCTCATTATTTGAGGTAATACTGCAGTTACCAGTCTAGCCAAGAGTCTTCCTCTTTGAACAACTACTGGGCATTGTTCTTGGACGTTTACATGTATTGACCCTCAAGAAGTGGGTTCCATTATAATCCCACTTGGCCATTGAGAACCCCAAGGCACAGAACCAATTTGCTCCAGGTGGTCTGGTTGGAGTAGTGGGCAGAGCTGGGTTGATTTAAACCCAGGGCATCTGAGATTGGAGCCTGCATGCTTCGACACCAGCACAACCACCTCTGCTGAGTGGCAGTGTCACTGTTGCCATCCAAGAATTCTGTGCATTCCAAGCCCTAGGAACAGGATGTCCCTGCCAGGCCTGCACTGAGAAAAGCAGAAATGTGGGGGTTACCACTGGGAGTGGGGTCCCATCTGGAAAGTTGGCAGGTCAGCTGCCCTGCCGCACCTCTGTGGTACTGAGCACTTTTATTTGGGAGTAGTGTTTGGGGGGGGAATCAGGAAAGCCCGATGGGTTGTCACCCAAGACCATGACAGGACGGCAGAGAAGGGGCAGGAAAGAATCCCCCACTCCCCACTGGCTGGTGTTTTCCTATACTTCTCTGGCGTCTCCATCAAATGAGATTTTGTGAGAATTTGGTTCTGAATCTGGGCCTATTTCCAGAAACTGATGAACCATAAGGAATTCTCCCAGTCATTGGCTTCTCCCTGCCCTAAACTCCAGCAGCCTCCCTGGGCACAGGCTGTCCTATTCCCACTCCATCCTCAATGTCTGACACAGGGTCTGGCCCATGGTGGCCACTTAAGTGCTGGCTGGGTGGAAGGATGGATGCCCGGGTGAACAGTGGACAGGCAGACGTCCTCCTGCCTTACTAGTTCTTTCTAACACCTCCCCTCTACCTTTTCCCTCAAATCCCTCAGACACTGGGGATCACAGTGGCCTCAGCTCTTCACTCTTCATCTCGGCTCAGTAGAAGAGAGTTTACAGATGACACACGGACTGTGCATCTGCACCATGCGCAGCGGGATCTGCTGCCATTGGCTGTGCTTAGCCAAGGACCTGATGTCTCTAACCTGGAGGAGCGGGCTTGGCCAGGCCATCATACAGCTCTTCTAGCTCCAGTACGGTGGCGCCCAACTCAGGAGGGTCACAGATGTCCTGGAGGAGGACCCCTCCGGCCTGAGCCTTGAGTCATGCTTCAGCCTTACGTTGATTTTGCCAGATGCATGTTCTAGTTTTTACTTCAACACCAACCCTCTTCTTTTTTTTTTCCTGGTGGTGATTTAGTCTGGTCATCTGGTTCCCATCATGAAAATAGGAGAGGGAACATCAGTCAGTCACCAGGGATGGTGGGATCACTGCAAGGTGCCTCACTGAGAGCCCCGGGGCCTGGGAGCTCTTGGTGCCCTCGGTCAAGGTACGCTCATGTTGCTTTAGGGAAGTAGAGCCCTCCTTGGGTCCAGGTGCTTCTGCACTGAAGCCAGGCAGCTGCCATAACTTCCTCCATTTCCATTTTGTTAAAGTAAGACTGAAAAAGAAGACCTGCGCTTCTGAACACCTACATTCCCATAAACATGACACTGTTCGACCCTTGATCAGAGGCAACAAGAGAGAGCCTTGTTTCCAGTTGCATTACTGGAAGGAAGTCTAAATTTTTCTTAGGAAATTTACAGGTTTCCACAAGACTTGTGTTCTGGCTTCTAAGTATCCCCACCAAATAAGTAGGTTTTAAAAAATAGGTGTTTGGCTTTCATCCTAAGCCACCAGGTCTGAATGTCTCCTGGAAGAAGATAAGAATATCGTTTTTAACAAAATGAGAATGCATTTTGCAACAAAGACGTCTGGATCATTTTCAGAGTGGAAGCAAACCCTGATGTAAGGGGCAGAAGAGTACAGAAGTTCCTAATTCATGCTTATTCTGAGAGTGCCACGCCAGTGGCTAGGGGCTTACTCTTGTGTGTTGCTAGAACATTCGCTCACCCATAGTAACCTCCCCCAACACACATAGGATCATCTATCAGGCAACTGTTCCTAAAGTAGATTAAATTTGCTCAAGAGACATTTATTTAGTATCTAGTTTTGAGGCCTGAGAAGAAGGTAAAATTAAGCTGATTACTGAACTCCAGTCTCTCTCTCTCTCTCTCTCTCTCTCTCTCTCTCTCTCTCTCTCTCTCTAGAATTCTTCTCTATAAGGGGAAAGGCGTTGTTTCCTGCTTCTCGCCTGTGTGCTCTCTTACTGTGAAACCAATCATGGAAAATAGTTGGACTGTTCAGAGAGCCTGCGGATTGAGAAATTGAAGGGGGAGGAGAAAAGACATTGAAACTGCCTGTAGCAGGGACACCTGACCCAAATCCAGCCTTAGGTCACTGCCCCAGGTTTCTCAGCTGATCTCACCCTCATGCTTACAAATTTTTCATTTCCTTGTTTTTTTCTTAATCTTTTACTTGCCAGAAAGTCACTGTAGTTAAAAATAGCACATTTTTAAAAATGATCTTTAAAAAATTTTTTTAAACACAAATACCTTTAAAATACAAACATTTTACAAATAAAGCTATTAAAGCACTGCCATTTTAATTCATTCTTTTATTCATCAAACAGTGGGCTCCTACTGTGGGCATCTTTTTGAGTTCACATTTGAAATGAAGAGAAAAGTTCAGTGGCAATAACAATGATAGCTAACATTTATTGGGTACTTACAGTTGTGCGAGAGTAATTTGCACTTATCATCTTATTTAATCTGCCCTTTGAATTCAGGTACGGTTAGTATGTCCACTCACTAACCAAGAAATGGAGAAACTGAGTAATTTGCTCAGAATCACCAATCTGGAAAAGTGGCAGAGCCAGGATTATAACCCATGTTGGTTCACGTTCAGGGTGAGAGCATTTAACCAATGAACTGTAATTTCCTCTGTAATACCTTATGCATGCACCGTTCAACTTAGGGAATGAAAGTTGACTACAAAGTGCTTCTCAGCTATCCATGCCCAGATCTCACTTTCTTGACAACTATGTCTTAGAGTTGCCAGTCTAAAGGCCCTTCTGTGGGCAGTCAACACAGAGTGCTCTCTTGTCTTCTAGTTATCCCTGCCGCAGGGAGAGAAGGGAGTAGGGAGCAGGTAGCACCCCAGTGAGGTAACTCTACTGAGTAATTTCCTGGATAGAGCGCAGGTGCTCTTTCTTAGTACCATGACTCTAGGAGTAGAAGATGGTATCTAAAGAACTGAAGGAGTATCCTCTGAGAAGAGGAACAGAGACCAGCTTCCCACAGCTGGGGTGACTATGTATAACACTGAGATATCTCTGAGCATGGTGACACAGGCACATGCTCTTGTCATCTGCCCTGATGACCTGGGAGCCTGTTCTCATCTGGAAGCTGGGGAAGTCGGACAATCACTAATGATACATTTCTCTTTCCCCACAGGCATGAATGCTTTACAGCTACAGAATCTGGCCACGCTGGCTGCCGCAGCAGCCGCAGCCCAGACCTCAGCCACCAGCACCAACGCAAACCCTCTCTCAACCACAAGCAGCGCCCTGGGCGCCCTCACAAGCCCCGGTGAGTGGAAGGGTCCTTCCCTGCAGTGATGCAGGAGGAGTGTGGGCAGACAGGTCTGCATGTGCCCAGGTGCCAAGGGTGAGGCTAGACATGACCAGGACAGGACCAGGAGACTGGCACCGGACATCCAGGTTATTTATTTATTTATTTTAAGAAACAAAACTTGAATGTGTGTTTTATTTTCCAAGGATGAAATGAAGAAAGTTCTCAGTAAGAGAATCCACTGGGAGAGCAGTTGTCACACATTCATTTTGTTTCAAAAAAGATTTGTACTGTCCACTCGGTCCTCACGAAGTTATCTCTGTGAGGAACCTTGGTTTCTTGGGCCTACTTTTTTGTCCAGTCCTCTTTAAAAAAAAAAAAAAAAAGAAGGAAAGAAAAGAGAAAAAAACAATTTAAAAACTCTGTTAAATCTCAAAATCCCTATCGTTTCTGTTGGATTTCACACCAGGTCCATCCTTCACATTTGATTTTAAAATCCATAATCTAACAAGGAACATCTTTGTTGTTCGTTTATGGTTGGATTCTGGGCTATGTAATTCATTCTTTCTTCCTCACGAATTTTGTTGCCTTATTCAAAAGCAGATGCCATTTTTCTTTTCATACAAGGCAGATATAATGTGGTTGCTTGGATACCATGATTTTTTTTTTTTTTTTTAAAAAGCAGAATGTTTAGCTGGCTTTTCTTCTCTGAATTTTCTAGACCTTGATAGATGATCTCACATGAAGGAGTTGGCCTGGACCATCTCCAAGCCTCCTTCTAACTTTGAAAATCCCATGACCCTCTATCAGCTGTGCCCAAACAAGCAGCTAAACTCTACTGTAATACAGGAGGGTTTTCTCCAGCTCACCGGAGACCGCTTTCTTAGGCTTTCAGGGAGCAGTGACGTACGTTCCTTGTACCTGTAACGCTTGGGAGAACAGCAGCCCTTGGTCTTTATAAAACATTGTCTAAGACATCTCACCTTCAGTGTGGATTGGACAGAGAAACCCAAGGGATAGTTAGGAGAATCTGGTGGATTTCTCATTAATGTGCAGAAAATCTCATGGTAACAGCAGAAAGGTATAGTGACTTCATTCTCTAAAATGTCTTAAAAACATTTGACCATGGTTACTATATGTAGACTCATTTTATGCCTTGATAGTATTCCTGAAAAATCAACTATTAAGTCAGTTTTTTTAAGAAACAAAATTATATCTTTAATGCAGTCCACAAACTTATAGAAATCTTTTCATGGTCCATTTTAAGAAACATAAACACTTTGTTAACAGATTCAAAGTTTGGCCTCTACTTTATCTGTTTTATAAATCAAATTTCAAGGTATTTTACTACCTAAGAATTTCTCTTCCCATATTAGGACTATGAAATAATTAAAATAGCACAGAGTATCATATGTGCCTTTTATTGTATTTTAAGCTAGAAGACTTACCACTTTTAAAAAAGCCAAGTACAAAAGTGGATGTAGTTGATCAGCATTAATAACTAATTTAATAATATGAATAATGTAATTCATATCTACAAGGTGTCTGGACAGTGTTAGGCACTGGCCTGGTGCTGGGGATGTGGCAGTGGACAGATGCCCTGCCTTCCCTCAGGAGCCCTTCAAGTCTCTGGAACCTGCACAATAAGCAAATAAATGTATGATATATATGTGCTAAGTAGGTCTTTTAAGAGGATCAAACAGAATAAGGTGAAGAGGGCGAAGGGATTGAAGGAAGTGATCCCGCTCTCAAAAGATGACATTTAAGCAGAAACCTGAATGTAGTGAAGGAAGCCCCAGGGGTCTTCAAGCAGGGAACTAAGCAAGCATCAATGCCGGGGTGGGGGCTCGGCCTGAAGATAAAACAGCCTGAAGCACTGGTGCCCAGCAGAGGGAGGAGGGAGAGCCAGAAGGGAGAGGAAGATCCATGCGATGGGCCCACAGCCTTCCCATTAGTGTAGTGAGGATGGTGAATCTGCTGCGGCCATCTTGAGATGCAGGTGCTCATCCTCGGAAGATGGCTTGAGTGAGTGTCCGAAAGAAATTTTTAAAATATTTGGCAACTCAGGTTTTTTCCCTGAGACCAGAGCGAAAAAGAAAACATACTTGGAGACAGATTTTCCATCTTTCTGCTCTAGTCAGACATCAGCATTAGCAAAGCATCCTTCCCACACTCTTACAGAGACTTTCTGCCCTTTGCAAATTCCGCTACCTGAGGTGTCATTGAAAGGGATTTTTCTCTTCTCTGTTGAGGAATCCTTTTTATAATAGCCAAAAGTATTCATGAGAATCCTAAAGTGTACCAGCAAAAACTACTTAAAACTACATTTCAATTATTTTTTCCTAAGTGTGACTAAAAAAAACAAAATCTGGTTTAAGTGAAAGTAAATTTATTTGTCTAATTTCCATCAGGGATTTTTTCAAAGTGACAAAAATTATAGTTAGTAAAATTCACAACACTCCCCTTCATCCGGGCAATTTCCTATGAAAAAAAAGAGATTGGAAGCCATTCCCAAAGCTATACCTTCATTTAGTTTTTAAATAATAATAAACTGGGATTATATTTGTACCAGTCACCCTGAAATGTGCGGAAGCCTCATCCTACACAGGCCTTGGTTCTACCCTGGTTTTAAATGTCTCTGAAGCTTCAGACAAATTCATCTAGAAAGGAAAGGGACAATGTAATCCCCCAAACTATTAATTTTTTTGAATAATTGTAAATTTATCTTTTCATTTTTACATACCCAGAAAAAGTCTCCCTACAGCATTATTATAAATGATTTTAAACAGTCTTGGCTTTAAAACATGAAAGATTAAGCTTTAATTTTTGTTAAAAAAAATCCCCTTAGGCAATAAATAGGTTCCTTTGTCTCATGGCCTTGAAATAAAAATTAAAATAGTTTAAATTGCCCATGGTTAGAATAAGTGTTACATGCAATTATCAGATGGTAGTGAATAAAATTAGAAATTAAATCATGAAAGAATAAAAACCAGGTAAGTGCATATTATGCCTTTTATGAGTTTCTCACGGGTCTTTTGAAGCCTAATTTAATCGTGTTTCTTGTCTTTTTATTTTGATATGATAATTTTTCCTTTGTTTACTTCACTCTCCTATTTAGTTAATTAATTCTTGGGTCGTAGCGCCTTACCCAGTTTTGAACCTGTTTTTTAGGCCTGTGTCTCTGTGTTTATAGAGGAAGGCATATCGGGAGGCATGCAGTATTTGCCTCCACCCGATGTGTTGTAGACGTGTCATTTGGTCATTTTGAGAGCTTGCAGGAGAACATTACCATTACTGCATGTGAACCCTTCTTTGGCATTTTCTGTCTAAAACCTAATAGTGTATTCATGTGCCACATGATTTTGCTGATTCTCCTCCTATTTTCTTTTTTAATATTTATTGTTTAGTTGTAATTGGACACAGTGCATTTATTTTATTTATTTATTTTTATGTGGGGCTGAGGATCAACCCAGGGTCTTGCCCGTGCTAGGCGAGTGCTCTGCTGCTGAGCCCCAGCCCCAGCCCATCTATCTTCTTTTTTAAAGAAAGAGATGTTTTAAAATTCTCCAGATGCTTCTGTGAGTGCAGACTCAGTCAAGTGCGCACTTCGGGATAATGGGTGATTTCCTTCGGTGGCGCAAGGCATTTTAAAATGCAGGGAAGCGTTGCTCCATTCCCATCTCGGCCTCTTTACTCTCCCCTCTAAATTCTTGGCCGTCTTTCTCCCAGCTTCAAGGTGTCCCCTGCTTCCTTTGGGAAGTGCTGCAGATTCCTTCTGGACTGTTCCAGGTGAAGGACAGTTAGGGTGCTGTTAATGTGATTCAGACCTTTCCTGCCCTCCTCACATGGTGACAACTGGTGAGTGAATACTGTCCCTGTGGCACACCTGTCACCAGAGCCAGTTCCCATAAACAATGGGAAACAAGAATTCCCATCAGAGTCATCCTATAGCCTTTCATTTATAGGACACTTTATCGCCCACCTTTAGGTCATCTGAGAACCTGCATTATGTGGACATGATAGTGGCTGATAACCCATTCCTGAACCTTCTAATATGAGCAGAGCAAATATGCAAATATGAGTTGGGCCCCTGCTGCCCACTCCAGGTGGTGACATGCACTGACACCAAGTGGGCTATGATGAGGCCAGGAGAGAGGGACGGACAAACAAAGGGCATTGAGAAAGGCCTTCTCCTTCAGTCTACTGCAGTGATACCTCAACCTCAGAAAGTCCAAGACTAAACTTCTTCCCCCATTGACCAGGTCATCGCACCATGCCCCACCTGTTACAGGTGTGATTTCAGTCACCAATGGAACTTGGTAGCTGGGTGTTCAAAGCCAGCCAGGGCTCAGCAACAGTCTATAGAGTAGCCAGTTCCCTGTGAACATCTTTTCCCTCCCAGTTGACACCGACTTGAACTCCCTTGGCGTTCCTGGAATAGCCTCCAACTAAGCTCCTGCCCTCTGTCCACTTTGCCCACTGCTGGAAAGCAAAAACTCCCCATTCAGACCCTTGTATTCAACTCACCTTGGTCTGGACCAGGGGAAAAGACACTCCTGAGCAGGGTGACCCAGTCCTATCTCATCCGCTCACTCCTCCACATCAGAACTGCACGGCCTGCCTGGAGCGGTCACACTCCGGTCCCTCCTCATCCCTTGGACACTCAGCCTTCCCTCCTTCATGCTAGTGGATTTCTCTACCTAGATGTCTTCTGTCCCCTTTCTTCTGTGAAACCTCCCACATCATTAGCTGATGATAGTGCTTGTTCTTGGGAAGATTGGGTACAGGTCTAAAGCTGGTACTTTTGATACACACTCTAAGAAGTACCCTTAGGAGCTTTTTGAGGGTGGAGGAGAGAGGGAAGTGTCAGCAGGAGTAGGTGACCTGTGAACCATATCCCATGCTCCTTCGCTGCCAGTGTGCTCTGCACACCACACCTTCACCAAAATACTCATCCTGTAGTTTTGCACAATAGCCACTGCGTGCATGTCTCCTCTCTTGCTCTCTAGAAAGTGAGC